GGGAGTATACGGGAGGTATAGAGGGGGTATACGGGGGTAGAGGGCAGGTATAAGGGGTATTGGGGGAGTGTAATGAGGGTGTTGGGGGCGGTTTGGCGGTGTATGGGCGTATTGGGGGCCGCTATGGGGGTGTTGGTGGTGTTATTAGGGGTTCCCCGACAGGTAGGTGCCGACCAGCCGACCGGTCGACGGGTTGGCAGCCGACTAGTCAAGGACCGCCGACCGTCGGCGTGTGCAACACTGGGAAAAATATCAAAAAAAAAAAAAAAAAAAAACAATATCGACGGTGAAGCAAAATGTCGTGCCGTTTCGTCACATTTTCCATTTTTGCTACTCTACCATGTATGGGCCGACGGGAAATGTAACCCAACTTTCGCGATTTTTTGCAATCAGAAGAATGATCCAACGATGCTGAAAATTGGAGGGCCCGTAGATTTTGTCATGATCTTTACAGGAAAAATATTTAAAAAAACAAAAAAAAAAATCATTTCAACCGCGAAATAAATTGTGGGGGTAATTCTACTTTTGCCACTCCGCCAGTTCCCCCCACGGTGCTACCGGTACCGGTAGCCCTCATGGACCTGTGCTACCGGTTCCCCCTAGTAGTGGTGGTTTAAGCTGTCCTTGGGCTTTTCCTAATACTTCTTACAGCTTTCTCTTCCTATTTGGCCCTTCTTGTTGGGATCCAGGGAAGATCTGTCCGGTTCCTATTCTGCTGGTAGGACAGGAGACTTACGATAATACCACACACCCGCTCTTCTCAATTGAGGTTCACAAAGGAGGGTTGGATTAGTCTGTTCCTCCTTAACTATTTGGCTGTCCGGACTGCCTTGACTACAGGAACTGTTAACCTATCAGCCTGTTGTAGGTTCGGCAAAACCCTAAACCCTAGTGGGTGCTTCCTCTGGAAGTGCTGCAACTTTGTATAGGTTCTATTTTGTTTTAGCTGGTGCGCATGTTGATGTTAAGGGACCCCGGGATACTATTTGTTAACTGACCTTCAAGTGGGTTGTCTGGCGGTGTTTCTTCCCACAGCTTGACCATTGATGGTCGCTATCCTGCCTTTTGCAAGGAAGTTTGCTTCAAATTTTAGTTGCTGAACCTTTGCCTTGTCTTCGTCTTCCTTCATCTTCCTTTTCACCCTACGTCATAAGGCCCAGTATTCAGTCTCTACCTGCTGTTGAAAAATTCCCAATGCCTCTTGGATGTGCATCCTTTGCATATCTATTGTCTCTTGGCATTTTTTCCTCTATATGGCCCATAACATCGCCTGAGTATCCTAAAGAGATTGGACTCTAGAGGGGACCAGCTTTCTTGGGTGTTGAATCCTAGGAGTAGATGTGTATGGTTGCTCGTGAGAGCTGTGTTTGTCATTGCCTCCCATAGCTTCGACACTTTTTGCCACTGGGGTTCTATTCTAGGGGCTAGGAAAAAACAGTGGTACAGGTTCTCTATTAGGCTGAAATTCCAATTCGCACAGAGTTCATTTAGTGGGTTTATACCTTCTTTTTCCTTCTAATGTTTAACCATTGGTATAGTGGTACTAGGCTTCGGAATTTGGGAGGGTTTATGCTTGCTAGTAATCTCCAGGGAATTGAGGCAAAATTTTGGGGTTCTACCTCAAGATGTTTCCTCCATCTTTCTGCTATTATGGGGTCTGGATTTGTAGATCGACGTCTTAGTCTATAGCCTAGTTGGGTTGCGTAGTGCAGGATGTTGATCTTTAAATTAACTCGTGCTGACCCTGATCTTAGGTTCCATGCCCATTCGGTCGGGTCAACTTCTAGATTCTCTAGTGAAGTTTGGGGAAGGAAGATGATTAGTTCCTCGTTTTCTACTATTATTTTTCTTAGGTTATTCTCCCGTATTGTGACTTACACTGAGGGGTTTCTATTAATTTTGCTATAATCAGCCCTGGGTTCTTCTATTCCATGCATGATGAATGTGTACTCGTTATTGATGCCTTCTTCTCTACCATGATATGCTAATTCGTGCTCTTGTGGTGACCTGTGTGACATTACTGCCCAATCCCCTGTGGTCTATTTCCTATCCCGTTGAAAAATTGGTACCCATTCCTGCAGGATCGCAAATATTTGTTTGTGCAGATGTGGCTGCAGATGGTGACATCCCTTGGGTTCAATTCGTAGCTGTCTCCTCCTCTTTCCAGTTCCTTGAATCCTCATCCCACATGTGTTTGACTTGCCATATGCCCTTTTCCAGCCATGTGCCCCATCTTGTGTCCTTTGTGGAATGTGTTAAAGGTCTCTCTTCTGAGTTTGTTATCCGGGCATTGAAGAGAAGGGGTTGCCCGAGTATTTCTTCCCTATTTCGTGGCTTCCTAACTTTGGCTGGGAAGATTTATCTCCAAGCCTTGAGAATCCCTTTCCATAATCCTCCCCTTGATTCACTTCTTGGTTGTACTATCTCCTAGTTCTTTCCTTTCATCGACCAGGATTTACCCATTTACCCAGAAGGAACCTTCCGTGTTGGTTGGGGTATTGTATATTGGTAGCTGTTGTAATCCCTCCAGGGATAGCATTCTCCAAGGGAGGCTTCGCCTCCATATTGTCTGCAGTGCTTCTATTAGGGTGGGTGGGCCTAGGACACCCAGTCCGCCTTGACCTTTTCTCCTGGTGACATATTGCCAGGCCACCTTAGTTATGAGTGCCGCTTGGAGGCATCTTCGGTCCAGAGGTATGCTGCAACTTTCTTTTGGATGTCCTTTAGCATAGAGTGACCTGGGACCCAAAAGCAACTACATACCACATCCTTGCAAAGATTGAGGAGTTAAGTACCAATGGTCATTCTGGCTAGTAGACTGGGGCCATTTCCGTTGTTGGGCCTCGTTCTGACATCTGGATTCCTAGAACCCTCAACGGGTCCTTAGGATCAGTGCATGGCATTCCTTCGGGTGTGATTTGGGGTGGGTCTA